AGCCCTGATAAAACACGCAAACCTGCACATTTATTCTTAGCAGCACGTACGGTTCATATTGTATCTTTCTCTATCTTCGTCTCTCTCTCCCTCTCTCTGTCTCTGTCTATCTATTTCTCTGTCTATCTTTTTTCTCTCCCCCCCCCCTCTCTCTCTCTCTCTCTCTCTCTCTCTCTCTCTCTCTCTCTCTGTAATATATATTATAGATGTGTATATTTGTTCTGTGTCCATCAGTGGCCCTTACGTGCGCAGGCCTGCAGGCTTCACCTGTCTGGTGTAACCATTACTGGTGTCCTAAATAAAACTTCTTTAGAAGTTGAACGGGGTATCCTGGGTGTCTACCCTATTTGTCTACCATCCAGATTAAGAGTGCTTTTATCTCAGGGTTGTAAATCTTCACACAGCGGCCCCCCTCCCCCCCCCCCTTTTTTTTTTAACGGATGGTTTAGAAGGGGTGTGAACAAACCGAACAATTTAATGATGTCCCGCCAATAGCAGTGTATCTCAATGTGTCTAGTCTCCTTACGAAATTGTGGGCTGTAGCCACCCACCCCCTTCCCCCCCCCCCTAATTTTTGTGTGTGGAGGGATCAAGGGGCCTAGGCATCCAGGGCATTCATAGGATATGATTCATACTGTTGGAATTAAAAAAGAAACGCAGAAGTGAACATTGCGAACACGCTAGAGACAATTTTCGGCGATTTTAGTTAACGGGAGAGAACTATTGAAGGCAACTCTTAACAAGACTAGGATAGATTATGTCCCTTTTATTCTTCTCCTGTGAAATCGTAAAGTTTGCATTTCGCCAATTTCTTCTTGTCTCCTTAATACTGCAGCCAGTAAATATGTTAAAATACTGCGCGTGCAAGTGCTCGCAACACACACACGCACGCGCGCGCGCAGACAGACACACACACAATCATGTAAACAGATATGCAACTAGCGTATAAGGAAGCATGGGAGTTTGATGAACTGGAGTTAAGAAATGTTTTCTATTATTTGACTCCTAGAGCATAGGAATATTCACGTCCATTTTTGCCATCGCGGGTAATTTAAGTGTTTCTTTTCAGACCCTCAGTTATCATAATTCCTATCAGTTCATTACCAACTGGTGCAGAACCAGTCAGCCTATCTCTCAGATAGTTTCTCAACACATCGACATCCTGGAAACATCCAAATGACGAAAACTACCCTCGACCTTTGCAGCAATGCTTTCCACTCTGCACAGAATTACCTGTATCCACCTTTCTCAGCGAGGGAGTCGCCGTGGCGAAGCGGCTACTTGCTCGCGGTGGATCGGAAGGTTGTGGGTTCGCATTTTTTTCAAAAATGACCTTGGCTAACTGATCGACCCAGCCTTGAGTTGGTACCGGGTGCAGTCCTGGGAAGTAAAGGCGGCCGGCATGGTGCTAACCACATCACCCATCTTGTGACGATTGGTCTATACAAGTGTAGCCCTATGTGCCCTATACGCTTAAAGACATGGAAAGGGGTTCTTTACTTTACTACTTACTTACCTTTCTCAGCATACTATGATAGTCAGTTACAATTATGGCATGTGGATATAGCCAGTTTTCAAGCCAGCAGAAGGTTGCAGTGAATGCCTTCACCTTCATTTCCAGCCTAGATATTGTGGTATCATACACCAAGCGACGTCAATATGTTTTTGCTATAAACATCCAGGTACTTTATCTGCCTCTCAAAACAGAGCCATCTGTATACATAGTCACATCACCTTTGCGGGAATTGTCATGAATCATCAGTTGGACTTCTGATTCTGCAGCGCCTGCTGGCCAGTCCCTGCACTCACAGCCCAGTTTGATTAGAACCCTACACCAGCCTGATTGTTGCCCGGACAATTTTACCCAATCCTCTTTTTGCACAATGTTATCAAGCCCACATACATGTCTAAGTGTGTCTTCAACTTGCGCCATCCAATATCTATCTCTTTTCAGTTTAACAGAAAAGAAAATGACCACTGTCTGTGACTGATTTCTCTAACCAGTTTACGGTTTTACATTCCTTTATAAATCCCAGTCTCTGTAACTTTCACATAATTTTTACTGATACTCTTGAATGGGAGGTTAAAAAACACACAGTATGCACCAGGTTAAGTAATGGGAAGTAAAGGTGCTCAGCGTGGTGTTCATCACATGCCTCACAGAGTGCTGATTGGTTTATAAAATATAGGTCAAGCTCAATACGTCTAAGGCAAGGTCGTGAAAAAGATCCCTTTACTTGCTTCATCATCAAGTGCCTCGCCGATGGCGTGGGCGATTATGCCTCTCCACATTTTGCGATATGCCACTACTTGTACCATTTCGTGTGTTGACACCCCTCCATGACATGACAAATGGCGTTGTCTTTCTCTGTCTCTCTTTCCAAAAATCTTTTCAGTGGACATAACATATTCCAGTTTTCCTCTTTTCAGAACGTGCCCTAAAAAAGATGACTGGCTCTTTCCGATATCTGTGATAATTTTTTTTTCAGTCGTCGCAACTTTCAAAATATCTAGGTTGCTCTTTTTGGCTGTCCAAGAAATTAATAGGATTTTTCTGTAAAACCACATCTCCGAGACCTCAAGAAATTATTGTCCGGGCTTCACAGCCATATTATCATCATCAATTTGAATTTGCCAAGTTCACCCGCTACATAGGTAGCTAACCTCTCCTAGATAACATTAGTTATAATTTTGGCTCATGTTTATGCTCTTATTTCATTGTGCCATAAATTAAAACTGGCTTTACATAGCTGCATCCTTTTACTTGATTCACCCTTATAGGCGAAAGAAAGTAGTAACGGTGCATATATCTTTCATAATGGAGGCGTGGTTACCAAGGACGCCAGCTGCTAATCCTCTTTGAATCAGACGAACTTACAAGCGTCATTAGCTACCAATATACGAACCGTGCAATGGGTTTAGAAAAAGTAGACACACCTTTCTTACAATTATATACCCTAGTTACAAATTCAGTTAACAATTTTTATATTTTTTTTTTTTCGAAATAATACAAGACCGGTGCAGTTTTTCCTTCAAGTAGCGATCTAGCGTAAGAATATTGAGGCCAAAGGTAATGAAATAGGGCCCTGTGTTTTACCATAACTATCATGGCGACGTTTCCTTGTCGCATCCAGTTTCTTGATGACAGAGATCCGTTTACGAATACAAGCTTTCCAGAACCAACACGACCGCCTTCATACCCGTTTTTGGTCAATGTAGCGTTAATAAATCAGGTTGCTGGAGTTCATAAATTGTTACAAGCCCCTCACAGAGTAAGTGTTGCGATGCTTTAACTTTAAACTCATACTTACTCATTAGTATGATTAGTATACAGTAATTAATTCTTGTCATGCAGCTGAGCTAGACGTAGAGCAATACTATTATCAACAGATCAGTAAAGAATTAGATTACCATAATCCAATCATTATTTAAATCGTATTAAATTTAAAAAAAAAAACTATACCCCTTGTAGGTTCTGCGGTCCCATTGTGGGATTGGGGAAGAGGGGAAAAAAAGGGGGGGGGGGGTTATACCCACTGCTGCCTACACGTATGCTGTAAAAGTCGACTTATTATGTTTCCTTCTGAGTCGGAGTGCGTCTGACTGAGAGGCAAGGAATAAACAATCTGTATACAAATAAACCAATACTGACATCTTAAAAAATCTTAACATCAAGGAAGATTAGCTAATAAACAGCATCCTTTCTCTTTCTCGAAAGCTGAAATATTTTGGTCATATCAAGCCCCACGAGGGATTGGAAAAAATTACAGCAGAAGGCATGACACCAGGAAGGATGGGCAGGGGCAGACCGACATGTAGATGGGCACAGGATATAAGTGACTCCTTTAGTATGAAACTTCATGAGGCGGGAGAGCTGGCGAGAGACCAAGTTTCTTTCAGGCAGACTGTGATGAGAGCGACGTTCTGCAAAGGACCTGCTACATGATGATGATACAAATAAACCAGATCTGTGAAATGGATGTCCATGCACAACTCAAGTTCTGGAACAAGACAACAGTCGAGAAGTGGATAAACAACCAGAACCTTCTGCCAAAGTTTACAGTCGGTGAACGCAAAGTAGAAGAAGAAGAAGAAGAAGACAGCAACTTTAAAATACAGTAGTTGTTGGCAGAATAAAACGAGAGATTTTAAATCAAACAAAAAAATAAAAGCCTATTAAACATTTAGGCTTCATATAAAAACTTATATGGTATAACAATCACTGGAGAGAAATGTTAAAGCAGACCAGTAATAGTTAGAAAGTGATACAAGTAAGAGGATATCATCATGTTATGAAGAGATGGACCTTCATCAGAGTGTACAGCCAAAATGAGAGTCAGGAAATCTATTGTGGAGATGAGACCTCATCGATTGTTGTTACTAGTGCTAAATGCAGGTTGTTTTTTTTTTTTTTAAACCATTGAAAGTAGAAAAATTTACTAAGATCTGACTTATTTGTATGCAGACTTTTGTTTCGTCGCCCATTAATCAGATGCACTCCGACTCTAAAAGAAAAACAATAAATTAGTCACCTATTACAACATGCTTGTTGGGGGAAGAGGGGTGGGGGGGGGGGGGGGAGTGAGTCTATCCTTTTTCCTAAATTGAGGCTCTGTAATCCCGACAAGGAGGTTATACACCTTAAATTTAGACTGGGCAGGAATTCAACACAGTGCAATCCTTAGAACATTGGCCATAATAAAAACGCAATCTTGGGACAGGTTACTTTGTTTGTGTGTGTACACACATGTGTATAAAGAGACTTCATATATATTTAGGAGAACACTTGAAAGAATTGGATGTTTTTCTTCTTCTTCGGCATTCCGAGCCCTTGATGTTCATTGCTGCAGATATCTCCCACCTCCATTCATCTCTAAAATTGGATACATTAAGAAATTTATTTATTTGTAGTCTTCTTCTTCTTCTTTCGTTTGCCTGAAATAAGTTGTCCATATCAGACATATTTGTTGTAATTGATATCATGTTTTTTTTCCTTCCAGCTTGAGGATTGTGCTCTTCAGATCTACCGGTACCATAGCGGAGCTCAGGCTGACTTTGGTACATACCTGGATTTGGAATCCACTTTAGCAGAACAAGCAGATGAACTAGAGGGATTCACAGATCAGTAAGTGTTGCGTCTTTTATCACATCTTCTTTAGTTACACTTCCTGGATCATGACAATCTCTCTCTCTCTCTTTTCACTGATAGTTTAATATTTGAGGTTACCTGTATTGCTCTTAGTTAGTTGTTCTTAGTCAGGGAAATTAATACCTGGATAACTTGGCCACAGGGATGGTGTGGGAGAAGAGCATTTAGCTGCTTCCTTACTCTGGTGGATCAAGTGACTGTGAACCATGACTGCTTGCACTTATCAGCATGGTACATGATATTATTCTCGCTAGAGCTTTTTTCCTTTAGGAAAAAAAAGTTGCTGGTTCTCACCATCAAGTATCTAATTCATCATCAGTTCTCTTTATGCCAAGTGGCACATGAGGCTTCAGAGAGGACTTTCCATGCTTTCCTGTCCTGTGAAATCTTCAGTGCAGTTGTCCATGTCAGAGATGCCGCACTCAGGTCACTTTCCATCGTTCGTCTTCATGTTGTTTTTGCGCACCCCTTCTTTCTCTTTCCCTCTGGTATCCATGTGAGAGCTGATGTGGCAGGTATATCAGGATTCATTCTCATAACGTGGCCAAACTATTTCCGTCTTCTCTTGGTTATCATACTGTCTAGAGTTTCTTGGTTTGTGACTTGAAGTAGTTTAGGGTTTGAGATTATATCTGGCCAGAAAATTTTGATAATTCTACGTAGACATGTGTGGTGGAAGGTGGATAGCCTGTGTGTATCCTCTTTAGTTATTCTCCAACATTCTGCTCCATAAAGAAGAACTGGCAAAATGATGCTCTTGTAGAGTCGGAGTTTCGTTTCTCTGCAGTAACTGTTGGATTTCCAGATTTGCCTCATCCTTCTAAAAGCAGCGCTAGCTTTGTTCGGGCGTGATTGTATGTCTGCCTCTGTCCTTCCTAGTAGGGACACCACACTGCCAAGATATGTTAAATATTCTACATTTTCAAGGGTTTGGTTATGGTCACTGGTTGTTGGTTTGGACTGTTTGTCATGATCTTAGTTTTTCTTGTATTTATTCTCAGTCCCACCATTTCTGCTGTGCAATGTAGTCTGTTACTTTTCTCTTGTATATGTTCATGTTTTTGTGATAGGAGTGCTAAATCATCTGCAAAGTCAGGGTCCTCAAGCATGGTGAATGGAGTCCATCGTATGCCACTCGATGTCTTGTCTACTGTGTTCTTTAGTATCCAATCAATCACAAGAAGAGGGATGACATAACTCATCCCTATCTTACACCTGTCTTTACTAAGAAAGATGTGTTGTAATTTTTGATACTGCAGGAAAAGTCTTTATAATAGCAATTATGTTGACTATCTTTTCTGAAATTCCAAAATATTGTAATATTTTCAAGAGACTGTCTCTGTGGATACTGTCAAAAGTTTCCTCAAAGTCCACAAAATTAATATATATACTTTTCTGCCATTCATTACTTTGTTCTAAAATGTTATGTTGGGTGAAGATGTGCTCAGCTGTTCCTCTACCCTTTCTGAATCCTGCTTGTTCTACTTGTAGGGATTTATCTACTCCCTTTTCAAGTCACATTTGATGATTTTACAAAAAATGTTGCCTAGTACTGAGAGTAGAGTAATCCCCCTCCAATTATTGCACTCTGTTAAATCTCCTTTTAGGGGGGATTTGGACTATTGTTCCTTCAGTCCAGTCATCAAGCAACACTTCTTTTTCCCAAATACCCATGAACAATGGTTCTAGAAGGCTGGCAGTTGTGTTGGGATCTACTTTGAGAAGTTCTGCCGGCAGTTCATCTTTGCCTGGTACTTTGTTATTTTTTAAAGTGTGGATAGCTTTAAGGATTTCTTGTCTGCTCGGTGGTTTATTAATAATGTCAAGGCCCTGAGAGGCTGGTTGTATATCTGGGGTATATTCAGATCAGGTCTATTCAAGAGGTTAGAGAAGTGTTTAGTCCACTGCATGTTTTGTTTGTGTTCTGTGGTAACCAGTATGCCTTGGTTATCTCTAATGGGCATGCTATGGTAACTGTTTCTGCTTCCGCAAACTTGTTGGGTAATTTTGTGTAGGGTTTGTAGATCATGTGCTTTAGTACCATTTTCTGTTGTTTCTGCTAGATTTTTCATAAATCTCCTCTTGTCAGTTCTGGCACTTTTCTTTACCATTTTATTTAGTTTGCTATATTCTAACATTAGTTTGTCTTTCTGATATTCTGATTTAGAGTGATTTATTAGGCTCTTTTTTCTTTTTCGCTTAGTAATGTAGTCCATAGTTTGATTGCTCATCCATTCTTTGTGGTATTGTTTCCTGGTTCCTATCTAAATAAGGTAACTTTACTGACCACATACTGTCATGCAGGTGACCAGAGTTAAAATCCTGGATAAGGTTGGGGATTTTTGTTTCTATTGGCGGCAGAATATAAAATCGCAACCTGCACAGTCTGTAGTGACAGCACTAGCTGTGCTGCATCAAATTCTCTGGCAGCACGGGGGAATAAGATTAATTATGAGATTATGTACACAGTATAAGATAACAAAAGTAAGTAAAAAAGTGAAGGACCCTTTTCCACGCCATCAGGCGTATAGGGCATATAGGGCTAGACCTATATTTTTATAGACCAATCGGCACAAGATTGGTGATGTGGTCAGCATCACGCCGGCTGCCTTTACTTTCCCGGGACTGCACCTGGTACCCACTCAAGGCTGGGTCGACCATGGAAGCTAAGGTCATTTTTGAAAGAAGTCCAGCTCCAACAGGAAGCGAACCCACGACCTTCCAATCCGCAACAAGCATCTAGCCACTTGACCACGGCGACTCCCAACAAAAGTATACCAGGACATAAATATCCATTTCTTGAGCTAACAGTATATTCCAGCTAAAACTCACAGGGGTTGAACAGGATATTATTGGTATGAATAGTACTGCTTCTACCTGTATTGTTATTTGGTGAGAAGTTATTACGTTCCTCTCAAACATTATAGGACTTGTATTTTCCTTATATGGACAATGGTGTATGTCTGTTGGAGGTTATACACATATCTTCTTCTTATACATAAATCTTCTGGCTGTAAACTCCAGCGAAAAGTTCTGGTTGTTTGTCCACCTCCGGACTTTATAATTGTTCCAGAGCCTGAGTTGCATGCACATCGGTTTAACAGATCTGACTTAATTGTATGCAAATTGTTGGTTCCTTGCCTCTCAGGCAGATGCACTCTGACTTCGAAGGAAGCCGCCAGTTAGTCAATCTCATGACATGCTTGTTGGGAAGGCAGCGGGTCTGTTCTTGTTTGCCCATGATAGGGCCCCGGAAGCCACAGGGGGATATATATATATATATATACATAGGGAGCCGCCCTGATGTAGCGGCTAGACATTAGCATGCCAATAGGAAGGTCATGGGTTCGGGTCCTGACGGAGCCAGACTTTTTTAAAAAGGACCTTGGCTCCCGGGTCAACCCAGCCTTGAGTGGGTACCAGGCGCAGTCCTGGGATGTAAGGGTGGCCGGCGTAATGCTGATTTCATCAGCCACCAAGTGCTGATTGGTCTGTAGAATATAGGTCTAGCCCTATTTGCCCAGATTGCCTGATGGCATGGAAAAAGGTCCTTTACTTTACTTATATATATATATATATATATATATATATATATATATATATATATATATATATATATATATATATATATATATATATATATATATATATATATATATATATATATATATTAGGGCTGTACTGAATATTCGCTTCGTATTCGCTTCGGGGCCGAATAATGGACCTAATAACTACTCGGTATTTGGCTGAATACTTGCGGTCGGCCGAGTACGAAAAGTGGTTACCTTACACCCGTTTCTGCATACACTGCGATGGACTGAAATAACTCTTTCATTAACACAATAGTTGCTGTTGCCTAAGTCTGTCATAGCGGGGGAATCTGCGACCCTGTTGCATGGTACAGCATCAAGCAAAGTCTTTGCCGGCTGACTCGACTGAAGCATTACAGCAAAAGTTATCAAACTGGGTGCCTATGCCAGTGGTGCAAAAATCAAGAAAAGTCAGTTATAAATTTTGACATTATTAAAGATGTCATGAAGATACTTTAAAGATAAAATTTTAACTTTCTTTCCTCGCCACAGTCGAAAAGAGTTTGTTTTCCCTTGTTTCACACTTAAAGTGTATCATACTGCATAAAATGCCAACCGCAGCATGCTAAAAATTGTCTTTGTATTTATCTTGAGGTGTGACCGATCTTCCATCTGTATTCGTAAAGGTGCAGCGGATAAGTAAGGTTGTGATTACATTTTGGCTGAAATTTTAAAGTGGAAAATGTGGAGATTGCATATTGTGGCGAGGCATAATCACCCACGCCAGTCAGCAAGGCACCTGATGACGATGATACACTATTCGTATTTGTATTTTGCTGAATAGTTGGTCCCGCTATTCGTATTTGGCCGAATAGTGAAAATAGCTATTGGTACAGCCTTAATATATATATGTGTGTGTATATGTATATATGTAAATATATGTGTGTGTATATGTATATATGTAAATATATGTGTGTCTGTTTATATGTGTTTTGTGTGTGTGTGTGTGTGTGTGTGTGTGTGTGTGCATTTAATAAAGAGCTTTTATTTAAAAAGCATCACACAATGAATATACTAAAAAGGAAAAAATAATTTCCTGTATCTTTTTTTTTTTTTTTAATATAGGAAATTCTTTGGTAACTATCAATCTTGTCTTCATACGAACATTTGTTTTCTTGCAACACTCAACAACTGACTATCTTTAATTTCACTCTTTCGCTTTTTATGCATGTTTTCCCTGCTTGTCCACCTCTTTTTTAATTACCCTAATTTTTCCTGATTTTCACATTCTCCAGACAGTCTTCTCACAGTGACCAGAATATATGACGTCCTTGTCCGTTTATGAGTAAATGTCTTTTATTGTGAATTGGTCTGCTACAGTGCTTGAACACTGGCATTTTTAGCTATCTTTTGGATTCTTAGCAATCTAAAACAAAACCACATTTT